GATTATCTAATAGGTCCCTCCCGACCCAAACATCTATGAATCTTAGCAGAACATTGAGTCCAACCCCCTGCCCTGGGCAGGAAAGTGCACTGGGGTCAGACGACCTGAGCCAGGTGCATATCTAGTATCCTTTTAAAGACCCCCAAGGTAGGGGAGAGCACCACCTTCCTTCAAAGCCCATTCCAGATTATGGCAACCCTTACCATAAAGAAATTCTTCCTGATGTGTCTAACCTAAATCTGCTCTCTGTCAGTTTGTGGCCGTTGTTCCTAGTTACTCCAAGGGGTGCCCTGATAAACAGAGCATATCTTATTCCTTGCTGCTTCCCTCCCCCCTACCCTGCTGATGAATTTGTAGGCAGCCACAAGATCACCTCTCAGGCTTCTCTTGTGGAGGCTGAAGAGATCCAGGGCCCTCAATCTCTCCTTGAAGTGTGGTGCCCAAAACTAGATGCAGTACTCCAACTGCGGCCTGACCAATGCCGCATAAAGGGGAAGTATTACCTCCCTGGCAAATTACAATCCCATGTGCCAGTTCTGCTCCTGGCTTTTTTTGGAATTAAAGCTGAATGAACAGAAAACTATTGAAAGTGATAGAATAGCTGGTGATGCTACCATCTCACTTTGGCAACTTTTTTTTTTTTTTTTTTTTTACTTCCTTACATTGGGAAAATAAGCATTTATGAAGAGTGTAAAAGAAGGGGTAGAATGGTAAGGATGGATTATTAAGACTTAGATACCTACCTCAGAGGAGGCAGAGCAAATATATGTAGATGAATTTGCCAGCAGAGGTGTAACTAGGAAGTTTTGCACCTTGGCCAGTGACGGGGAGTGCCATTTTATGTTCTTTTAAGTCAGTGCTTGGGACTGATATCCTGCTTTCCCATCCCCCTAGTTATGCTATCGTTTAGCAATAGAATGGGCATGATAAATCAGGTATGTTTGGGGAGAAAAATTATTTTCTTTTTCCAATTTGTTTTCAGCTTGGAAACAAAAGTCAAGTTCAGGGTTAAGATGACAGATAAATGTTTAGAAATTTAGGGGAGATTCCTGTGGGTGAGATTGAGCTCTAATTCATTCATTAATAGGACACTATCCTGAAACCTGGGGCTGTAGATTCAAAATAGGGAGTAAGGATAGAATATTTAGCTTGTAAACTTCTTTTAACAGGTATAGCATGCCTCTATATATTTCTTTAGACTTCAGTACAATATGGGCCCAGTTCTACCTCAGGATACAATTGTAATATAAATATTAAAGATAAAGACAGTATCAAGATAAAAGAGAGTTAAGGGAGAGAGTTCATGCAATAAATTAGTAGAAACACAGCAAGGATGAAGCTACTAGTCATATTGTTCTGTAATAGATAGTGCAAGATGATGCACCTGGGGGAGGAAGAACCAGCATCATACCTATAGACTGGGGAATTCCCTTTTCATCAGTGCAAAAGATCTTGGAGTCATCACTGATGCCAAGATGAACATGAGCCAGCAGTGTGGGGATGCAGTCAGGAAGGCCAACCATACCTTGTCATGCATCCACAGAGGCATCTCAAGCAGGTCCAAGGAGGTGATACTTCCCCTCTATGCGGCACTGGTCAGGCCGCAGCTGGAGTACTGCATCCAGTTCTGGGTGCCGCACTTCAAGAGGGATGTGGACAACATGGAGAGGGTCCAGAGGAGGGCCACTCGCATGATCAGGGGGCAGCGGGGCAGGCCCTATGAGGAGAGGCTACAGGACCTGAACCTGTTCAGCCTCCACAAGAGAAGGCTGAGGGGGGATCTAGTGGCCTGTTACAAACTAGTTAGAGGGGACCAGCAGGCATCGGGGGAGTCCTTGTTTCCCCGAGCACTACCAGGAGTGACTAGAAATAACGGCCACAAGCTGGCAGAGGGTAGATTCAGATTAGACATCAGGAGGCGCTACTTCACTGTCAGGGCGGCTAGGATCTGGAACCAACTTCCAAGCGAAGTGGTGCTGACTCCTACCCTGGGGGTCTTTAAGACAAGGCTAGACAGACACCTTGCTGGGGTCGTTTGACCCCAGTACTTTTTCCTGCCATGGCAGGGGGTCGGACTTGATGATCTGCTCAGGTCCCTTCCAACCCTACAAACTATGAAACTATGAATAGGTAGATGGACAGAGAAAGGTGCCAAGTTCAGGCTCCATGGCAGACTTTGTATAAAAAGGTTGAGACCTCCATGATGAATATTATATGAAAAGGAAGATATTTAATAGATTTCATAGACATTAGGGATCTCATAAGATTATCGAGTCCAGCCCCCTGCCCAAAAGGCAGGAAGTCAGCTAGGGTCAAAGGATCCCATCAAGATAAGCATCCAAATGTTTCTTAAAAGTGTCCAGAGTAGGTGCTTGCACCATCTCTGTGGAGTTCCAGGCCCTGGGGGTTCGGACAGTAAAGAAGTTTTTCCTTATGTCCAGCCTAAAACAGTCTTGCAGGAGTTTGTGACCACTGGGCCTTGTCATCCTTTGGGGTGCTCTGGTGAAGAGGCCCCAGATTCTGATGCACACCCCTTATAATAGACTGCCACTGAGTCAGCCTTGAGCCTGTGGTTTTCCAGGCTGAAGAGTCCCATGGCTCGCAGCCTTTCTTGGTAAGGCCTGTTCTCATGCTCTTTGATCATGCGTGTGGGTCTCCTCAGGACTCTTTCAAGCTTCTCCTCGTCCTTCCTGAATTGTGAGATCCAGAACTGGATGCAATACTCTAGCTGTGGCCTCACCAAAGCAGAGTACAGTGGGAGGATGACATTCTGGGTCTTGCTTGAGATGCACTGGTAGATGCAAGCCAGCATTTTATTCGCTTTGCCAGCTGTGGTATTGCAGTGTTGGCTCATGTTCTTTTGCGGTTAATCATGACCCCCCCCAAGTCTCTTTCGGTCATGGTGCTAGTGAGTGCAGGATTGCTGAGCCTGTAAGTGTGATGTGGGAGGTTTTTCCACTCAAGGTGGAGCACCCTGCATTTCTCTGTATTGAATGGAGAAGCTTTGGTTAGAAAAAAAAAATTCTAAAAGAAGGCACCAGAATGGTAGAATGCAGGAGACACTAATGCATTTGTTTCTACTCATTTAGCAACACAGGAAATAATAATCAGAATGTTTGCCATAAAGCGAGGAGGAATTGATAAGAGGTGTTATGGCAGGGATCAATATATTTATTTTCAAGTTTCCTAGGGTATTGCAACTAGTGTGGGAGAAATATGATGTAACCAAGTACTTTTAGTTAAAATGTATCAAGGGAAATAAGCAGCTGAGATTTCCTGTAAGCCTGGCTCTCATGTTACACTTCCAAGTCTTCCCTTTGATTTTGAGCAACACGTCTGTATTTTGGAAATCTTAATTTGTCGTACATTATTAACTAGACATTTTGTAGTTTCATATCACAAACTGATTGTTCAAAAGCTGTATGGAGGCATTTCCTGTTTTTTCTCATGTTTTCGATTGTGTATATTAATGGCAAACAGTTCTTCTATTATTATTATGTTTTCTTGAGAAGCAGCATATAACAATGTAAGTAAATTCACATACAATATATGTCAGTTTATTAATTCCTGTGCAACATTTAGTTTAAGTATAGCCACTTATTATGTGTCTTTGAAAATAATTCATTTCTTTGTTCATCACCAGTATAGCTACTATAAGCTTTACAGTGCTTTTGCAGCAATTTTTGACAATTTATCAAAGGAAGAGATCCATAAAGTCTTTACTTCTTTTTAACTGGATGAAGTCAGTCATGGGCTGAACAAATGGGATGATTCAGCTTATTGTACTTCATTAAACTCTTCTATATTGTTGCCATTTTCTTTTGAAATAAACTAATCTTCATAAATATAGCACTAGAAATGGATTGTACAGTTCAATATTTTTCCTGTTCTAATTCTATTTCCTTTGCTATTTCTCCACCCCACTACCAAAGTTTTCTGTATCCCTATTGGATACCTTATTCCCTTCTCAGTATCCAGTTCATTCCAAGGCGCTGCCATGCTGGCTTTTCCTTGCCTCCCCCCACCTCTCAGCTTTGGGAGGGGCATTCTCCTGGTGCTGGAACCTTCCTGGGCTGTCTGTAGCAGCTGCTGCTTTTTAGCAGCTGCCAGTTGCCACTTGATTGCCTGCCTCTCTCCCAGGCAGGAAGGAGGACAGACTATCAATTAATGGGCTCCCTCTAAGGGTGGGGGTGGCCCAAAAAGAGCCTTCTAGTATCCCCTGGCTGGAGAGCTTGTCTACGAAGCTCTCCAGCTACAGGGCTGCAGGAACATCTGTACACTCCCAAGTCTTGGGCTACTTTTCTATTGGAAGAAATGTCTTCTTGTAGAAACGAATATTGTCCACAGCTTTATTAAGATAGATCCTGGAGAGGGTAAGATGCCCCTTCTGTTGATGGCCCAGCAGGAATTTAGCAGAAGGTGTTAAACCACCTGTGAACATCACTAGAGTCTGATGATGGGCAAGATCTGATTGCGTCTCAGTTTTACATATTTTAAGTCTGCAATATTTGTGCATTATAGTACACAGAAAATGACTGTAGGGTCATTTCACTTTGCTTTTTAAATGTGCCATGTTATGGGCATAATCTGATTTATATTAGGATGATTGGCAGGCTCTAGTCCTGTTCAGTAGTTGGAATTAAATCAGAGTGTATGCAGTAATGGAGTAAAAAATTGCAGGAAGTAAGAGATGGAGTTAGAGATGTTCAATTTGTGACTATGAATATCAACCCACATTGTGTTGGAGCAACACCATCAAAATGCTATCTTACACTCCTTTTATGTAGTCACTAGCATATAGCATGACGTGCAAAACGCATCCTAAAATTGTAGACCTCTTCTCACTTCATACAGTAATTCTTTTGCACTTGTATCTAGATGAAGAACAACTTCTGACATTTTTTGCTTTTCATTGTGAGATCAGGGAATAACTTTGGTTTTGTTTAGTTTCATCCCAAGACTACTGTACCATGTTTATCACATGTTTGTTTTCTTTTAAGAACTGCCAGAAACTTCCTTAATTGAAGAGGAGGTGCAAGAAACAGAAGCCTGGGCCAAGCCTCTCATTTACCTTTGGCAGAAAAGAGTCCATAATTTCAATGCTGAAAAAGAATATAACGCAGCTTGTGCCAAAAAGGAACCTCATTGTGCCATTTGTACTCTCCTTATGCCATACTACAAGGTAAGCTGTTGTTTGGAAGGGTGTCTTTGATGTCTTATTTAAAACTGAGCATGGCAACGAAACTAAGGGAGGCAAACAATAATTATTGTAGAAGGTTAATTTGTGACATGAAAACAAAAAGCAAATAAAGTCAAGTATCAACTGCTGACAAGGGGCAAATATTCTCCTAGCTACTGGCCAAAGTAAACAGGAAACTTCCTATCAAGTTTACCTACAGCCTCTGAACAGAGTATGGAGCGACTGTGTAGTCACTACCACTTATGCTCAGTCCACGGTCAAACTGACTTCTTGCAACCTAATACAATAACGAAACATTATCCATTGAAATATTTTTCAAATAACACAGCAGGGTTGTGATTCACGCCCCCCGCCCCCCATAGAATCAATGAGTCGGAAGGGACCTAGACAGATCATCGAGTCCGACCCCCTGCCATGGGCAGGAAGGAGCACTGGAGGTGGCAGGGGTCATAAGACCCCAGCCAGGTGCCTGTCCAGTCTCCTCTTGAAGATTTCCAGGGAAGGTGAGAGCACCACCTCTCTGGGAAGCCTATTCCAGGCTCTGGCCACTCTTACAGTGAAGTAGTTCTTCCTAATATCTAACCTAAACCTATCCTCCCTCAGCTTGTGGCCATTGTTCCTGGTGACTCCAAGGGGGGCCCTGGTGAACAGACTTTCCCCAAGTCCCTGTTGCTGGCCCCTGATAAGGTTGTAGGCAAACACAAGATCCCCCCTAAGTCTCCTCTTGCGGAGACTGAAGATATTCAGGTCCCTCAGCCTCTCCTCATAGGGCTGGCCACGGAGGCCCCCAACCATACGAGTGGCCCTCCTCTGGACCCTCTCCAGGTTCTCCACGTCCTTGAAGTGCGGCGCCCAGAACTGGACACAGTACTCCAGCTGCGGCCTGACCAGCACCGCATAGAGGGGGAGCAAGACCTCTCTGGACCTGTTAGTGATGCCCCTGGCCCCTGTTGATGCATGACAGGGTGCGGTTGGCTCTGCCTATTGCTTCATCGCATTGGTGACTCATATTCATCCTGGAGTCGATCATGACTCCAAGATTCCTCTCTGCCTCTGTGCTGCCGAGAGGGTCAGCCCCTAACCTATAACCATAATGCTGGTTCCCTCTCCCCAGGTGCAACACTCTGCACTTGTCCTTGTTGAACCACATCCTGTTCAGATCCGCCCACTTCTCTAACCTATCCAGGTCTGCCTGGATGCGGTCCCTGCCTGCTGGTGCATTCACTTTACCCCACAGCTTTTTTTTTCTTCATGTTGAAGACAATAATTCTTATGTGGTTTGGGTGCTAGTTTTGAGATCTCTGCTTTGGTACCTTTTTAAATGAACTGATCTTCAAAGTCTTACTAATTGGACACAAAAACATAAAAACTTCCATTTACTGGCTCAGACCATAGGTCCATCTTGCCCAGCATCCTGTGTCACAGCGGCAGAGAGTGGATGCTGATGCCCCTTTCGACCAAAAATTTGTCCAGTCCCTTTTTGAATCTGACTAAACTGTTAGCTTCCGCAACATTGGTGGCAACAAGTTCCACACTTTACTTATATGCTGTGTGAAAAAGAGCTTCCTTTTTTAAATTTTAAACTAACTACCTTTCATTTTGTGACCCCCATAGCTCTTGTATTGTGAGAGACAGTAAATAATAAAGTCCTATTTACTTTGCTTTGCCATTTATTTTTTTTGTAAACCCTTTTTATAACCCCTCCCTCAAGCATCTCTCTTCTAAACTGAATAGACCCAGTGTCTTTAGTCTCTCCTCTTAGGAAACCTGTCCATACCACTAATTATCCTTGTTGCCCTGTTCTGTACCTTCTCTTGTTCTTCTATATCCTTTCTGAGGTGTGGGAACCAGAACTGGGCACAATATTCAAGCTATGCATGCACCCTGGATTTATAAAGGGGCATGATGATCCTTTCAGTTCTGTTTACAATGTCCGTTTTAATATTCATTTTGTTTGCCTTTTGAGGGCTATTGAGAACTGAGCTGATGTTTTCAGTGAACTGTCCACAGTGAATCCCAGATCTCTCTCTTGCATGGTAACAGCTAATGTAGAGCTCATCATAATTCATAGTTTCTAGGGTCAGAAGGGACCTGAGCAGATCATCGAGTCCGACCCCCTGCCATGGCAGGAAAGAGTACTGGGGTCAAACGACCTCAGCAAGGTGTACATCTAGCCTCCAATGTAGGTATAGTTTGGGTTATTTTGTCAAGGTGTATCACTTACACTTATCAGCATTGAATTTCATCTGCCTTTTAGTTGCCCATTTGTTCAGTCATGCCAGAAAATACTCACCCCTTTTTACAGATCATTTATGAATATGATAAACATCACTGGTTCCAACACAGATCTCCGAGGGGCCCTGCTGGTTGCTTCTTTCCATCCTGATATTAACTATTTATACTCACTCTTTGTTTGCTAAGCAAATTTCTAATCCATAAATGGACATTCCTTATAATCCTTATAATGTTTGGCAATCCAAATCCAATCCTGCTTATTGACACCTTCAAAGAACTCTAATAGTTTGGTAAGGCATGATTGCATGACAGTGTAAAGAAATTTGATTGAATTGTGGTTTTGTTTTTAACCATTGGAGTTTTACTTTTTCATATATGAATGGATTCAATTTAAAAGCGAGATGCACTGTATCAACTATGTTTATATTAGTACATGTATAGAAAATAACATTTGCTATGCCTCGGCCATTCCCACTTCTCATGCACCTGCAAGCAAAAATTGATGATGTTTAAAGCTATGCATTACAAGTAATATAAAAACTTTAATGACTTGGGCCATTCTTTACATTTTTATGAATTAATTTGATCATGAAGCATTTAATCTTGAAACATTTAAGGACTGCTGCAGATTAGCTGAAGTTTACCTGGTTTTACAAGCTCCAGAAGGCTACAGATATTGGCTGACCTACAGTGCAAAAGGAAAGAGTTTGTTCATTAAAGAGTAGCAAACCTTTCCCAGCCCAGAAGTTTTGCAGCGGACAAAAGCTGCAAAGCTTCTTCTGGAAAAGGGCATGAATATAAATTCAACACCTCAGATGCTCCCCAGAGCTCCATATGGTGGATGGGGACTTGCTTTCTTTGTCTTTGAGTTTGCACAGCCTATTAGAGTTCTGGCAGAACTTGAACTGGAATAAATTACTCTGAGAAATATCACTGTTCCACAACAGAGTCAGGTATCAGGGGTCAGGTGGGGGGGAGTAGCACTTTTATTTTCCTCTTCCTCCTGGTAGGGAAACTCCATGCTGTTCCCAGCTTATTCGATGAGGACACTTCTTGCCTTTGGAAGGTAAATTGGCATGATTCCCTTCTTCCCCATTCAGGTGTATATGTCAAAGGATGGGATATTCAGAACCATGTTGCTAATTTAATTCTGGCTTTTCAGAGAGGATGTTTCCTTTAATTATTTTACGAGGCTGATGAGAGAGAATGCTGCTACATCTGTTAACAAGTCATACTTACCTGCTCCTGGAGTTTGAGGACCAGCTTCACAATTGCATTTGAACTTGATGAGGCTCAGTGAAAAAAGTGAAATGATAGTAATATGTACAATAAAATGAGAACAGTTGTGGCAACACTAACTTTTGGCGCTATTTTTAATTTTACAGCTATCAAAATAATCAAGTAGCTAAAGAAATTGGTAGTGATATATGTTTTGGAAGAAGCTAATTTTCCTGTGAAATTGTTATGCCATTAGTGTAGGAACTGAAGGGGAAAAATATATCCACAAAAATCAAAACAACAAATAAATAAGCCCTTTGTGTCTTTTAGTTAAATATAAATATTGTATATTTTTCCAGCCTGACAACTATAATGAAGAAAATTATACGTGTGGGGAAACAAAATCAGATGAAACGTTTACGGCCAAAAATGAAAAGACTAAACCACTTATTCCAGAGATGTGTTTTATTTATAGCGAAGAAAACACTGAAAACTGTCCATCAAATGCCTTTATTGAAGAGGATGGAACAAGTCTTCTGATCTCCTGTGCAAAGTGTTGTGTACAGGTTCATGCAAGTAAATAAACTAATTGTTCAAATTACAGAGTTTTTGATTTACAGTTTTGTTTTAATGTCTATATTATAGTTTATATAATAGTCAGCATATTTAGACTATTTCCATTTGTTGTGCTTAGGATGCTTATGGCAGCATTCTGTTTTAGGAAATAAAATATTCCATGAATTGTTAACTTTGTCTTGAAGATATCAAATAATTGGCAGCCTATTATCTGTCAATCAGTATCAGTAAGGAATAGGTAAAAGTTTTGTAGCTAGAATATCATCCTCATTAACTGGTATGATATAACCTTAGCTTAATAAAAGTACATGCATTATTGTACCTCTTCATGCTCTGATCTCATGATATCTCAAAAGTTGGGGCCCATATGTAGCTGAAAGACTTCCTAGAAACACTTTGATTGTAGTTGATGCCACCTTTCCAAGTCAGTGCCATATTTCAGTTGGGTGGTAGACCCAAGTTCCCTGACTTTTTGTGAGCAATAATTGTGTCATAGCACTTTTATTATTAATTTTCATGTTAGGTCCTAATAGAAGTTTTTCTCCATTTTGCCTTTCACAACTGGGGCCTGATATAGGAGTTGCAAAATCCTCTTCTATCTTTAGTTAAGGCAAGACTTTTTCTTTCTATTTTAAAATGTTCTGTTCTGTCATGAGTGACTGGTGCCTCCTGAATCTGTGGGGGGCACCCGCAGAAGCCACCAATGGCAGCGGCCCTAGGGGTGGGCACCTGCCCTACCAACAGCATCAGTGTCAGCTGTCAGGAGGGGCACTGGCTCTGTCAGGGGAGGGGTACGTGCACCCCCGTGCACCCCATACTAGTTGCCTATGTGTTCTGTTGTGGTGCCCTGTTAAATTGCTGGCTTGAAATTTGTTGAACCCAGTTGGAGCTTTGACATTGACTTCTGTGCACCTGTGAACTCTGAAGAATCTGAAAAATCTTCAGTCTGAAGAATGAAGTGCTTTTCTACAGTACCTCCAAACAATGCTGAGATTTGATTAGCTAACACTGGGAAAGCACAACGAGATCCTCATATGAAAGTGTTATGTAAATACAAAGAATTAGTGTTACTGCACTGATTCTGATTCTCAGTTTTTACTAGAGGTACACCTATACATTGGTCTGATATCAGATAGGCACTGATATAAAGAAAATTGACTGCATCAGAAATCGGCCCCTGGCCAATAGTTTGGCTGATACATGCCTGTGCATGTATGCAGCCGCAATGCAGCATGCAGGCGGCAAGGAGCACAGCCTGGCAGTGTGGAAGTTGTGCGCAGCTGGTAAATCTGTTGTGGTGGAAGGGGGCGGGAGGGAAGGGGCATGTTGGGGGGCAGATCAAGGCCCCCATGGTGAGGGAGGGA